AGCACTGAATTTTTTGAATGATTGGAATCTCAGGACATTTTGCTAAACCGGCACTACTAGTGCTGATCTGCGGAAATATTTTCTTACGTGTGCTTTCCCGTTTGGTTGATCTGAGGTCAAAACAACAAAGTCCAGATCATCTGTTTGTGGGACTTGTATTGAATGAATGTATGACCAAATTCGTGCACCCAGTAGCTCTCATCCTTTTTGTCCTACCTCTACTTCAGTGCCATTGACACCATGTCAAACGTAGCCATGTTAACTCTTATTAAATCTGACCTTTATCGTGATATTTTACCGAGGTAGCGAGCGGAGTGACCTCGAAAGTCATGATATTCTGTAGATTCTAGATCTCTGCAATGTACCTCCGTTTTTCCATGTCGTTTTTTAAATGTTCCCTTTTGTCATCGTGCTTACACCTCATTTTCATCTTATTTTGACGCGACGAGGTCGAATTTCCGCGTCTCAGTTCTTGCCCATGGCTTGTTTGGAAAGGTGCGGGCAAGGACAGCTAAATTCTTTCAAGGAGGCTTGTTGAAGGAACATCTTCCAGATCTGGTGTGCCGCTAAATATCACCCGATTAGTAAGCAAAGTTCCCCAAGTTGTATGGAGTATGGATATCGTGAACGACGTGTAAGATTAAATGGATCAATACTCAATCCAAGTGGACAGCATATCTCAGCTTAACGATTTTGCTCCTAGGTTTGTCGCTAGTGGGACGTTTCAACTGATAACCGTTCTCGTCTTTGGGTTGTGTAGGAACTGATTATGCGGCAGCGTATTGTGAACGGAAGTTTGTCATACTGAAGCATTCGTATTCTCCTGGTTGCACAACAAGCTGGTGCCACGGCAAGACCACTTATCTGCAGTGCTGTTAATCGTGCTGTTTACAGCTATCGATTGTGGTTACCCAACCAGTCATTTCATATCTTGCGTCATTTCATAAAACTTGAGATGCCGTTTAAATGACCTGTCACTGTTGTTGTCACTTATGCTGTACGTTTTTCATTGGACTAGGTATAGTTTTTGCCGCACAGTTCTGGTCTTTTGACTGCTCCGGGATTTACTAGTAATAATACGTATATTTGCTAAGGCGAGAATATGTCCGTAATGGAAGAGATCAATTTATACGCAGGTATCCATGCTCTAGCGTGGGCGATATGCATAGATAGAATATTGGTGGATGCGTTTCATATTGTTACTATTTGGTGTATGATTTGGGCGAAAGCCCAGTTTTGGAAACGCTGGTGTTTAGCTCTGTCTGGACCTTACTTAGAATGGTTCGGAGTGCGATTTTTCCATGTGAATATAAGGATTATGGTATTTAAATCAAGTTAACTGGAGTGTTTGCTTATAATTGTTGCCATTATCACAAGACCTGTGTGTGATTGGTAGTTTATTCCTAGGCAAAACTTCAAGCAGATGTTCTTTCTAGCCTACGATGTATTCAGTTTAAAACCTTTATTGCGTAGCCCTCAAGTTGAGCAATGCAGTAGTTCGTGTGTAAGCAGGATGAAATAGATTTTTCTGTGTGGCAAGACGAAGAGCAGCTACTGGTTGTGTTTAAATCGTCGAATTCAAAGTGCTTCGATTTGAAGTTAGTTGCAACGCCCTAGATAATTCATGGCAGAGATCTTACCAATCAGATGTACAGGAAACGACCTCTGCAGGGGTTCCGCAGCAAAACTGTCATTCTTTCTCCTAGTACCAAATATTATGCTGCAGTATTCGAGGATGGAGCGGGTAAGTAAGTTGAAAACCTCAACTCTATCCTGGGTTGTGTGGATGTTGTTACATACACTGAACACAGATTGTACGGCACGTACTACTTGGTTTTAGGCCTGTTCGGAGAAATTTAATGCGGATGATTATCTAGTTACCAGATCACATGTGGACAGCAGTGCAACCACATGTTCATTGCTTAGTGCGATAGACCATTCCGGGATGGAACAGCCGTGAGATACGATGATTTATTACTTACTGGAAGGTTCATCATCCACTATGGCACCATGACTCATAAGCATATGATTTATGTCGATTAAGCAGTAGCTTTCTGTGAGGCTTGTGACATTGAAGCTTATAGATCATATCGTCAGCAAATAATAATAGCCGTCCGTGTTTTGTAGATGTGGTATGGTAATTGACGTAGGGCAGAAAGCGTGAGGGACCGAGTACGCTCCCTTGGATGACCGCACTGGTGATGGAGCGGGGAGAAGAGCGACCGTTACCTGAAGTGACTATCTGGTGAATGCCACTCAGGTATGATGATAGACAACCTAGGAATGGCTCCTGGATTCCAAAGGCCTCCAACTTTCGCAGCAACAGCATGTGTGATAGTCGTTCGAATGCCTGGTGGGTCTAGAAACAGAATCACTACTGCATATTCGGAATCAATAGATACGGTGATGTAGTTCATATGATGCAGTTGAGAGGTGGTGCAAGGTAGCTTGTCATGGAAACCATAGTGCCAATTATTTATTGAGCCAAACGAATTAACGAAGTTCTCCAAATCCTTTGTGGTCAGTTTTGCGAATATCCGGGCGGTTATTGGAATGTGGTGTATTGGCCGATAGTTCTCATTCGTTTGTTTGGGACCTTTTTTGTGCCGAGTAATGATAAATGATGTTTTTCATTGCTCTGGAAAGTGGCTGGGTTCCAGTGTTAAAGTGAACATGCTCATCAGGGGCAGAAGTAGATCAGGTCCAACCATCTTACTCGGGGTTGGTGAAATGCCAACAGATCCCAAATTGTAGGATGGGCTACGTAGTACCCTAATTTACAGTTCTAGTTAGAGATTATCCAACCAAAGTCCGCGTCCAGTTCCCTTCTTTTTTCTGTCACTGCACCCACGTTTCATATCACCACGTAAATGTTTAAATACTGTTAAGTATACTACTATCTAAGGGAGCGTTACTAAACCACAGCCTACTTGTTAATACACTATCTTTCGTCGTTCTGTGTATTCGCATTTGAAACGTAGCAGACGTATGGTCCCTGCCATGGCCTCTGTCGCCTGCTTTCTTGAACTACAACGAACCTTGTATTCGTTGTACATTCGAAGTCCCATTGACAAGCCGACTCGTCCTACGGCTCGATATTTGCCATCTAATTTTCGGTTACTTTGAAGCGTGCTCTGTGTTTTGTGGTGGGGTCTACGGTACTGAGCCTGACCACAGTTGTTTGAGTAGGTTGCGGTTGTGCGCCATCAGCCGGCAGCTTCCACCTGCGTCCCGGTTAAGTTGAATCTGCAATTTTGTCTCGGTGACAGTAGCAAGGTCACCTGTCCGGGCTTCTTCACGCAATAATGCGTGAGACTGCCTAAGCGTCAGGTCCATCTACTGGTCTGCATGCGTGTCAGTGGATTCGGATTTGTGATCAAAATGCAGTGGAGAGGAGTTCCGTTGTTGTGAAGGAAACCACTTTGGATCGAGCGGCCGCTGACTATAAAATATTTTCAGTTTACAGATGGATCCTCCTATTGTCCCTGTATGGCTCCTGCTGGAAAGCTCTAACGTTCTGTTAAATACATATAAAAATAAGGGTATGAACATGAAGATTGCCGTAATCGCACCTGGAGGTTCCTGTGGATCTATCCGGAAGTACTCCTCGCGGGTGATAGGGCGATGTACAGTGGTTACATGCGCAACAATAGATACGCTGGATGAAGTTGCTAAATCTACGTCAGGTAAGTGTATGCACGTCGGTGTGCGCCAAGTTAGTGGAGAGCAACTGCGAAAAAGACAGTAAAGTCCACACGGTGCGACCGCTCATATAATGCAACAATGGGACAGCAAAGCACGTTAATTTGTACGAAAAGTTCCGGCTTGCATCACGTGGGTCAAATTGAGTATCAGCTTTGAACCCTTGGTGCCTTCAAATTCTTCAAGTTCGTACTTAAGCTGCTCTACCGACGGTTAAGAAAACGAAGTTGATGAACGACCGAAACCATGGCAATCGGGCCAACCTAACCCGAAGTATGTGAGCAAAAACCTGTGCAAGCGCTCCTCCTACCATGAAGATAATGGGATTCCAGACATTTTTTACTCTCTGGTTGTATTTTTGATGCGTTAATCGCCTTAACGGTAGACCCACACGTGTTCTATCGCGCTACGCCTATGTGGGCGCCGTGTTTTTCTGCTACGTGAGGTACACCAGCATCGACTGAAGCATTCGGACAGGTTTTAATCTCCACCGACATTTGGTTTGTCATGACTCGACCAGTTCTCAGCCTTGCTTCATTAATTTTACATATTTCGCTGTTCTGTATCTTAATTATAAACTGGCTGACGTAAATGGTCGAAAAGAAGTCTTTTCACAAAGTTCTGCTTTTACATCTCTATGTATCTAATGTGCGAAGCGAACATTAAAATTTTCTGATTGGGTTGAATCGACCTGCATTGTCCGGAAACTTCATCCAACAAATTTATCAGCTGGAGCAGTTGTACCTCGTACTATTAGATGCTCAAGTCTAAAATAGTAATTGTACGAAACCCGACTGCTGATATCGATTTTGATTCTTCCGTTTTTTCTATACAACGAAAACTGGAAGACGGTATTCTTTGCTGGATATCAACTTGTATTTCGCTGATTTGATTATCACCCAATTTGATCAGCGACACAAAACTAATAACACTTTGGACATTCCAGCCAAATGAGTTACCAGAGTATTCACAGCTCGGCACCTTGAGCAGGAAATGGGATCAAGCAAACAAAGTAACAAGTATTACAATGTATAGCTGGATAATAACAGCGGGAATGTTATCGACAATTTCACAAACAAACGTTCTGCGAACTGTGTGTTAATGCGCATGAAATTACTTGTCCTGATGCCGCATTCCGCAAACAATATACTGAACTTTAATTTTATTTTTCACTGCCCTAATAGGCAAATATAATCCACGATTGGTTAACACGATTACGTTACTCGTTGACTTAAGGGTGACGGGAAGAAGAATTGCCATAGAGAACAAAAAGCTTCTATTTTTCCCATTTTTTACAGATACGGGTTGATAATCCTATATCGTACCAAGATGTCACAAGTCTACTAATTGCGGGCAAAATGTACGCAACAACGGAACCTTTCATCGATGCCATGTGTGATGTTCATGTGCAAAAAATTGGCTCAAAATACAGGGTCTTTGTGTAAGTTCGATGAATACTTCCAATTCCGGTTCCCTTTCACTTGTTGATGACATTTTCAACGTGACATTCATTGCTTTATATTGCTCCTTTTCCGTGCATGTAAAAAATAACTGTCAAAAGTTATGCAAAATACCATAAGAAACCGACGAGCTGTGACAAAGTTTTAAAATTACAGCTAGCCGAACAACCTCCAAGTGGGGCCAGCTGGGTGGTACGGGTTAATCCCGTTCCAGCGAATAGTTCGTCGGCAGTGTTCCAGAACGTGGTAAATTTTCGCCTGGAAAGCCTTCTCCCTGTAAAAAGGCCCATGTGTCAGTTTACCAACACTGAGAGGTGGCGTATGTGACTCGCCACCAAATAAATTCACTGCCTCTTCCTCTTCTAGAGGATCTGATCCACTTCACGAACGTCATCCAGTTCGAAGAGTTCCTTTCATCCCTTCATACGATGGTAAACACAACAAACAAACACATGAAATCAGTCACACTTCCCAAGTTCACTCACCATGTGCGGTTTCGAATTTGCCTGTCACTGTGGCCAATCACTGGACGCCAGCGCACACAGAGGGGTCATGAGTGGCTTGCGTTGCACCACCCACAGCCCCAACCACACCCCCCATATCCAGTGTAACCCCGAAGGAATAAGACCGGAAGGCATGCGGACGGGAGCGAAGTTTCATCAACGGAGCTGGCCCACACTACTTCACAAGCAATTCACAGGGAATCAAGCATACACAAGGCGGTGGCTGGACCGTAGTCCGCTCCATACTGAGTTCATGGAACCACTCTTCGAGCCTAACACGGCCACAAGGTCCGTGCAGCCCTTCCCCTCCAGCAACGACCAACTGTCTCCTAGAGCCAATATTGACGAGGTAGTGGGTAATAGACAGGTAGGCACCTTGTCAACATTCACATCAAGCGCAGCCACACCGGGGATATCAAGCAACAGTCGATCACTTGTAAGAAATGTAACAAAGAAAATAAATCGAATAATGCATAAGGAAACGGTGACATAAATCTTAAATTAATGAGCATATGAAATAAGTTGTTTGCAAAAGAATCCGGGATAAGTCCAGGAGGTCAGAAAGTATATTTTGCGGAAATGCCACAAACGCCAAAATGTTATCAAAATTAACTACAATTGGCTTAAGCGACCTGTACAAGATTATAGAAGAGAGTAAGGTAGATATTTATATGAGAAAGAAAAGTATTAGGACAAAATTGAAAACCCATTACCTAAAATAAAGAGACTTAGCATGCAAGCACGCGGTTAATAAATCAAATGCAGCGCACCTACAAACGCTGCGTTGGTTCTGCCTACGTTCTCAGCAGGACTCTTCGTCGCTTCGGTAGTGGTCCCGAGTGGCCTCGCTCATGGCTCACTAGGCCTGTCTGACTCAGGCACTCGCGACCACATGTGCTACAGCACCATGCGCTACATGTCGATGGAGTACAACCCATCGGTGCTTGCCGCTTCCGCAATTGCCGCTTCTTCTCTGCATGTATGAGGTCTTTTTTCCGCACTTCAGCAACTGCCTTCGTGATTAGATCGCGCCATGCAATCAAGATTAGAACGTGAGAGGCTTACTTTGATCATGTCCCGCTAAGGTAACTTCGGTTTCCGCACATGCGGTTTCCTAATACTCAGTTGACCGTATAAGAGTTGTTTCGGTATCCGTGTTGAATTCATACGGCCCACATAATCGAGCCACCTTGAGTGTCTCAATAAAAGTATGCAGTCCGCTGCATACATCCCACTTCGGCGCAACATTTCCGTGTCAGCAACTATGTCGTCCCAACCGATGCGCAAAATCCGTCGCAAACACTGCTGATGGAACCGCTCGAGATATCGCACATCTCGCCGGTACATCGTCCACTTTTCACTACCGTATAGAAAAGCGGACAGCACCATGGATGTGTACACCATCAGCTTCGTACCAACGGTAAGCTGATGGTTGCTTTAAACTCGGTACCCAAGCTTCCCGAATGCCGACGCTGCCTACGACACGTGGATACGCAGCTCACGGTGTAGCTGCTGATTAGTCGACATCACACTCCCAAGATAACAGAAGTGGGGGTGGTTTCCAATACTTCGTCACCAGTGCTGATTCTCAGCAATATTAAAGATTGCACCTCCGGTGAAGGCTGAAAGAGACAGACAATTTTGCTAGTGTTGATGCCAAGCCCGAATTTGGCCGCTGTCAAAACCAGAGCACTAGTCATGTGCTGCAACTCATCCGCGCTGTGTGCAAACAACGCACAGTCGTCAGCAAACAGCAACACACGGATAGTTGTCTCACAGACTAGAGTTCTCGCACCGAAACGACGGATGTTTAGCAACCCACCATCAATGCCGTTCTCCACACGAACACCGTAAGCACAAGCCGCATCAAAAGCACAAGACAACATTGCATGAAGATATATATTAAACAGGACAGGAGCTGAGACACAGCCTTGCTTCACACTAGTGACAACTGCAATGTCATTCGACGTCTTTCCACTCAGCTCCACCCTCGCCCGCATGCCACTGTGCAGACATTCAAATAAACTTACAAGCTTAAACGGGTAAACAAACTTACCCAACACCAGTCACTATGCATCGCGGTTCACCATATCAAAGTCGTTGGTGAAATCAACAAAGAACGAGTACAACAGTTGGTGTCATTCTCTACAACTATCCTGCAACTAACTGGCCGCAAACACCATAACTACAGTGCTACAACCCGAACGGAATCCACACTGCTCTTCCGCCACGTTAAGTTCCACAACCTGACTGACGTGGCCGTTGAGCAGGATTCGAGCAATCGCCTTTCCCACAAAAATTAGCAAGCTGATGCCACGCTAATTCGTGCAACATCGCTTGTACCCTTTGCCCTTGTACAGTGGTATCACAAGGGCATCTTTCAGCTCAGAAGGCACCTCCTCAATGCACACGCGTTGCACCAACTGGTGCAGCAAAGTCACCAAGGCGGGTCCGCCGTGTGTCAATACTCTAGGCGGGATCCCGTCGGCACCGACACAATTGCCGTTTCGTAGCTGAGCGAAAGGTCTCTGCGTCTCATCCAGTGTCTGCGTGTCCACCAGACTCGCCTTCACATCGTGCTGCTTCAGGCCGTTCAAAGAAGGTCAGTCACTCTCTTAACGATTGTCAAGAGACAGTCAAAGTGTATTTGCCAGACCTGCATTATGTCTGTAGTATGTGTACAGGTAGTGCCTGAGTTACCATCGATCATCGTCCTCAGCGGCTCCAATCTCAGTTCATACACCGCCTTGAAGGAGTCAAAGAATTCCTTGTGTTGGCGGCGTTCGGCGTAGCATTCCATCTGCTTCGCCTTCTCCGCCCATCATACATTTTTAATGCGACGGTGCTCTCGGGTCAGTCGCCGTTGAAGTTTGCGAAACTGAATATTCTTTCCCAAGTCACTGGGGTCCGCGACATGTGCAGCAAATGCTACATTCTTCGACAAAAATGCGGCAATCCTTGCATTGTTGTCATCAAACCAATCAGACTGCTTACAGTTTGTGCGCCGGACGGTCTCTTCATCAGCAGCTGTCACTTAGTCGCGAATGTGATGCTACAGGTCACCGACTCTAGATATGCTTTCCACATCACACAGTCGTGCAGCCAAAGCCTTCAGCTCAATACGCTACACCAAGCCGATTCACGGCTAAAGCGCAATACATAGATTTACGAAAATACATGTACAGTTTGGTCCGCAACAAGTTGTGATCAGTGCCACACTCAGCTCCACGCAGTACACGAGGAATGCGCACTTCACGCATATCACGCTGACGTACGATGACATAGTCAAGCAGGTGAGCGTGACCACTCCGTGGGTGCGTCCAAGTTGCTATATCACTCGCACTCAGTGCAAACCGATTGTTCTTGATCGTCAGGCCGTAAGTGAACCACAGTGATAGCAGCCTGTCATGGTTCGCATTCGCTGAAGCATTGCCATGCGGACCGATAACATCTGCCCACACTAATGCATCACGCCTAACCCGCAAGTTGAAATCCCCCAACAGAAATAGTCGGTCGCTCCTCGGCACAGACCGTATCACGGAGGATACTTGAGTGTAAATTAATCACACGTGTCATCCGGATAACACATGTTTGGAATGTAAGTGCTTAAAAAATGGCAAACTTACCTCTTCCTAGTCGTAGGCGAAGAGTCACCAGTCGCGCGCTGATGCTAGTGGGTTCACCCACTAACTGGCTATGAAGGCGATCGGATATTGCAAGTCCGACCCCTTGTTCACTTAGTGCTGTGTTGGCGTTGCCCATCCAGGAGAATGTGTAGCCAGCACCTTTTTCATGCAACTTACCTTGCTCAGTGAGCTGGGTGTAACTGAGCGCCGCAATATCGATGTTATAGCGCACCAGTTCCATTGCGACCAGTGCAGTGCGTCGCTCGGGGCTTTCACTGGAGTTCCGGTACAGTTGTGTGCGCACATTCCAACACCCGATTATGAGTGCTTTGCGTGCATGCATACGATTGCATTGGTGGGCAATGGTACGCGCGGGGTTGGTTGTGCTTCGGAGGTTTGCTTGGGGGACTCCACCCGGAGACTTAGACTCAATAACCTGACCAACAAGGCAGTGGGGATTTAAAGCTTTGCGTGAGCGACTCCGCCCAGAGCCTTTGGCTCAATAGTCTGACCCAAAAGACAGTGGGGAGTAGATCCAGTTCGTGAATGTGATTACAGAGACAGATTGGGATCCGCTTGAGGTCCGTTACATGCAGCCATTGAGGTATTGGAAGGATGCATATATGTTTTGCGACCCTAAAAGGATACGCATCTGCGACCACGGCCAGACGCAGGTGGGTTTTGGCGGGTTTGCACCAAATTGACCAGGGGCTGCCTGGTTTGAGGCGGGTAGTAGCAAACCATTGAAAACCCGGAGGTGCAGTCCCACCGTCAGAGACAATGTGTGGCGCTCGTGCTAATCGCCAATCGGGCTATGAGCTTATAACCCTTAGATCTGTTGTCGCCCCTGGC